GGAGTTCAATTTTCCGAACTCATTCTATAGCAAGCAGAACATCAAATAATGTCCATTGTATTGGTTTATGTTTCTCCTTCTCTCCCTTCTTTTCTGAAGTGATTGTTGGGGGTGAGGGAGGGGAGGAAGTGGAGTCTAGGAGTTTTCTTATAGATAAGTGCTTCTAAGAAAGTGAGCCAAGTTCCTATGACATTTACCATTCATGGGGCACTAAGTCATTTCCTACTTTAAAAGTTTTTGGGTTTGTTTTATTGATGCATCATGACATTATGTAACTAACCCATCAGTGAGCCTTCTCATGTTATTTATAATAAAAAAAAAAAAGGAAGCAAGATCAGGTGGTGCAGTGCCTGTGTCTGATAGCCCATAGGATGTATCATTCTACACTGCTAGTCCCTGCCACTCCAACGAAACCTTGTATTAATCAGATCGGAAATTTCAAAGAATAATTATAATTTAAATAATAATAACTAATATTTATACAGCTCTTTAAGGCTCACAAAGCACTTTACTTATATTTTCTCATTTGATCCTCACAACAGCAGTGAGATAAGTCTATTATAATTCCCACTTTTCAGATAAGGTAACTGAAACTGGGGGAAACTAAGTGACTTACCCAGGGTCATGTAGCTAGTAAGTGTCTGAGATGAGATTCAAACTAAGATCTTCTGAATCCAAGTCTAGTTATCTGTCCACAATGCTGAGTAATAGTCACTATTTATATGGTGCATTAAAGCTTGCAAAAATACTTTCTTTGCAACAGTCCTGTAAGATAGGTAATACATGTAACAAACAGCTAGTGTCTGAGGCAGAATTTGAACCCAGGTCTCCTGGCTTCAACTCTAGTAGTCTTTCTGCTTTGGGGAAAGTAGACATTTCATTTTTGAATCTGTCACAGAGAAAGAAAGAAAAGCCAAGCATAGTCTGATATGTACATCCTATGGGCTATCAGACACAGGCACTGCATCACCTGATCTTGCTTCCTTTTCTACCCTTGGGTAGAGTCTGTGTCAGAGGGTCAAGAGAAAGGGAAATGACCAGGGATTGTGTAGGAGAAATAAACTCAAGAGGGATAGAAGCTCTCATAAAAGAAATTCTGAGGACAGAAAGGTAATTCTGATGAGGAGAAAAACAGAGGAATAAATGTGGCTGCCTAGCCAACTCATAGAATAATTTCAATTTTAAAATAATAGGTACCAAAAATGGGATGCAAGGGAAGGTAATGGAAGAAGAATACAGAAGTGTGGTACAATCTTGTAAGAAATGTCAAGCAATCATCAGAACTCCTTGGTACTGGCTAAGAAATAGAGTGGTGGATCAGTGGAATAGGTTAGGTATGCAAGACACAGTAGTCGATAACTATAGTAATCTACTTTTTGATAAACCCAAAGACCCCAGCTTCTGGGATAAGAACTCACTATTTGACAAAAGTTGCTGGGAAAACTGGAAAAGAGTATGGCAGAAACTAAGCATAGGCCAAAATCTCACACCATATACCAAAAAAAAGTCAAAGTGGGTTCATGATTTAGATTAAAGGCTGATATTATAAGCAAACTGGGAGAGCAAGAAATAGTTTACCTGTCAGATTTATGGAGACCAGAAGAATTCATAACCAAACAGGAGATAGAGGACATTATGAAATGCAAAATGGATAATTTTGATTACATTAAATTGAAAAGTTTTTACACAAACAAAGCCAATGCAACCAAGATTAGGAGGAAAGTAGGAAACTGGGAAAGAATTTTTACAACCAGTGTCTCTGATAAGGGCCTCATTTCTAAAATATGTAGAAAATTAAGTCACATTTATAAGAATACAAGTCATTCCTCAATTGATAAATGGTCAAAGGATAGGAACAAGCAGTTCTCAGATAAAGAAATTAAAGCCATCTATAGTCATATGAAAAAATGCTATAAATTACTATTGATTAGAGAAATGCAAATCAAAACAACTCTGAGGTACCACATCACACCTATCAGATTAGCCAACATGACAAAACAGGAAAATGATAAATGTTGGAGAAGATGTGGGAAAATTGGAACACTAATGCATTGTTGGTGGAGTTGTGAACTGATCCAACCATTTTGGAGAGCAATTTGGAACTATGCCCAAAGGGCTATAAAAATGTGCATACCTTTTGACCCAGTGATAGTACTTCTAGAGCTGTATGCCAAAGCGATCATAAAAATGGGAAAAGCACCCACATGTACAAAAATATTTATAGCAGCTTTTTTTGTGGTGGCAAAGAATTGGAAATTGAGGGGATACCCATCAATTGGGGAATGGCTCAACAAGTTGTGGTATATGAATGTAATGGAATACTATTGTGCTATAAGAAATGATGAGCAGGCAGACTTAGGAAAAACATGAAAAGACTTGTATGGACTAATGCTGAGTGAAGTGAGCAGAGCCAGGAGAACATTGTGTACAATAACAGCCACGTTGTGCAATGACTAACTTTGATACACTTAGCCCTTCTCAGCAATGCCAGGATCTAAGACATCTCCAAAGGCCTTGTGATGGAAAATGCTATCCACATCCAAAGAAAGAACTATAGAGTTTGAATGCAGATTGAAGCATACTATTTGCTTTTTTTTTTCCTTCTGTTTTGTTTCGTCTTTCTTGTGGTTCCTTCTGTTGGTTCTAATTCTTCCTTACAATATGACTGATGTGAAAATATGTTTAATAGGAATACATATGTATAGCTTATATCAGATTGC